CCAGCTTGGGCTATTCTATAATTCTGTGAGAAAACTGAGATCAGAAAAAAATGCAACACTATGTTCATGGCTCAAATCAAACTCCTTGGCTTATTCTGTATTTCTTACAACTCCTTTTGAATGTGGCTTGTTGCCATAACTCAAATGATGCCAAGTGCTTGAAACAGGTTCTTAAGACATCTTAGGGCCACCAGATTTGTGTGCACCATCCTGCCAATATCACTGATAGAGCACAACTGGTGTCCACATTCACAGGCTTCTGTGATGTACAAGAATATTTATAACATTTCCATTGCTTAGCTTTGCTTTTTTTCTTCTTTGAATCACAGAATCAATTGAAAGGGACGCACAAGGATCACTGAGTCCAGCTCCTGGCCCTGCACAAACACCCCAACAATCCCACCCTATGCCAGAGAGCGCTGTCCAAACACTCCTGGAGCTCTGGCAGCCTTGGGGCTGTGACCATTCCCTGGGGAGCCTGTTCAGTGCCCCAGCACCCTCTGAGTGAAGGACTTTACCTAAAATCCACCCCAACCCTCCCCTGACACAGCTCCTGCCACTCCCTGGATCCTGTCCCTGGTCACACAGCAGAGATCAGGGCCTGTCCCTCCTCCATGTGAGGAAGCTGCAGAACTGCTGTGAACTCTGGCCTCCATCTGCTCTTCTCCAGCTGAACAGACCAAGTGACATCAGCCATTTCTCATGTGGCTTCCCCTCCAGGCCCTTTACCATCTTTCTACTCACAGGACAAAAGCTAAAGAGCAGAACTGGTTGGCCAAAATAGATATGGAAATGACAAGACAATGGTTTCCTCACTGAAGTGAACAAAGAGCATCAACAAGCAGGAAAGCTCAGGGACAAAGTCTAAGGACAGCTGCTTCCTGGCACTTCTGTGACACAGAGCTGGCTGAATGGATGAAACTCCCACCTCAGTCAATATGTTTTCTGCCTCCTGAGCTTAAGAGGATCTTGACCTCTATAAGAGGAAATAATTTGAAAGAGGTAAGAGAGGAAATGTGCAGTTTCATTCTGTGTATGTCAGAACAGTGCATGCAACAGGAAATTATTCTGCTCATCTCTTCAGTCCAGAGTGGCCACTGGGATCAACTGCTCTGACCTCCTACCCAACAATGCTGCTCCCCACAACTCCCTGACAGGAGAGTGTGGCCAGGTCGGGGTCAGCCTCTTCTCCACGGGAACAAGGCACAGGACAACAGGAAAGGGCCTGAAATCACATCAGGGAAGGTTCAGGTTGGATATTAGGAAAAAAAATTTACTGAAAGAGCAGTTAAGCATTAGCATAGACTGCCCAAGGAAGTGCTGGAGTCACCAGACCTGGAACTATTCAATGAGTGGACATAGCACTTCATTATATGGTTTATTGGGCATTGTGATATTCCACTGAGGGCTGGACTTGATAATCTTGGAGGTATTTTCCAACTTTCATGATTCTGTGAGCAGTAGTTCTTGAAGACCATGCATCACTGGTTATTTCTGCAACAAAGCATAGAATCACAGACTGGTTTGGGTTGAAAAGGACCTTAAAGATCACCTCATTCCAACCCTCCTGCCAGAGGGGCAGGAACACCTTCCACCAGAGCTGGTTGCTCAAATCAGATAATCCAACTGAGCTGCAGCAGAGCTGGTTCAAGGATTTCCCCAATAGATGCAATGCACCATTCCAGTGATTCCAGGGAGCTCATGGGAGTGAGGAATGACCACAGATTCCAGGAAGGAGGAAGGTCAGCAAAGAGCTGGAGAGTTCTGGATTGGGAGAAAGAAGTGGACAAGGTGAGCAGCCATTTCAGGTTGAGGGGAATAGCAGTGAACAGATTTTGGTGGGCTTTTTTAGAGGGTGTGAATTTGCTCTCTGCCTCCAGAGCAGCTCCTTGAGGGATATGGAATTCCCCACACCATTCTACCCCACGTCTAGGTCTTCCTTCTCCACAGTCCCACTGAGAAAAAAATCTCCCAAGACTCACAGTTCCTCTCCTAACTCTCCCTTCTACCCACAAACTTCAAGTATTTGATAATAAAATCACCAGGATTTCATGTTTTGTAGGTAAACATATGGTACGGCAAACAATCTGAGGACACAAGGAAAGTGGGAAGATTTTACAATTTTTCATGTTTTTCTTTTCTTTTGGTTATTTTGCCCCCAGTACTTTCCTAACTACAGGTCTTGTCAGTCTTTTGCTGGCCTAGAAAAGTCAGGCTCTTCCAGCTTCCACTGGCAAAGCACTTTGCATCTACCTGATCATTCTTGCTGTTCTTCTGTGCATCCTGCCTGACCAAATTTAGGTCACCAACAGTGCACACAGCATTCCAGATGAGGCTTTGCAAAGTTTAACATTTCCCAGGTATTACTGAACGTGCTTGTCCTGAGATTCACCAAGACTTGCATGTCAATTTTTTATGACTGCGATATTCTGGTGGCTCAGTTACTGGCACTCAGGCTGAATGAAGGACAGGGAGCTGCTGCAGCCAGGCCACAGCAGGGACACCAAGGGCATCAGAGGGATGGAGCAGCTCTGCTGGGAGGAAAGGCTGAGGGAACAATTGGGATTGTTCAGCCTGGAGAAGAGTGCTGAGGCCTTGGAACAGGTTTCCCAGAGAAGCTGTGGCTGCCCCATCCCTGGAGATATTCAAGATGAGACTGGATGGGGCTCTGGAGCAATCAAGGTGTCCCTGTCCATGGCAGAGGGTTGGAATGAGATGGTCTTTAAGGTCTCTTCTAACCCTGGCCATTCCACGATTCTATAACCATTCCTTCTATTCACCCTCATCCATCCCATCTCCAGTGGTATTTTCCTTTACAGCAAACTGATGATTTTACACAAAGTTTTCTGTCCAGTTTCAGGGAAGGCAGGACTGAGATCAGAAGTTAGCAGGAAAGCCCCATTTTTTCTGAACCTAGTACTTCCTGTAAATGGAGACTTTGTAACCAGCAGATGTAGAGCCAACCTACCAGGACTGCAATGATTTGCACATTGCCCTAATAGCAAAAAAATGTAGGAGGCACAGAGGTTGTCTCCACATCTACTCTGCCACCCTTCTGTTCTTCCGTTACGTAAGAATTGCAACTACATTTCTTCAACTTAAAAATCTCTCCTTGGGAGAAACATATCCAGGGCAAGGGGAAGCTAAGATGGAGCGTGGTCAGGAATCCAGAGCCAGCAAGTTCTCCATTCAGCATGAGGAATTTGGTGTCCATGCATGCCCCAGGCCAGCCTGGCTCCTGCTCCAGCCAGGCAGGTGAGTGGGGGTGTCAAGGACACAAAAATGCCAAGCACAGCACAGCAGACAGGCACTTGCCCTCACCTTATGGTGTGGCAGTGGCACATCTTCCCCAGAGCTCCAGAGCAGACAAAGAGACTGTGGTCCAATTCTGCTTTCGCCAGGGATAAATTTGGAGTCACTTCACTGACGTCAGTGGAGTTATTCCTGAATTGCACCAGTATAAAAGAGGGCAGCATCTGCTTTCTGAAAATGGATGCCATCAAGCTAATTGAAAACAACAGATGCATCAAGGAGCAGCAAGAAGTAATGTTCCAGTTTTCTTGTAAAATACCATTTAATTTCCCTCCAGAGAATGTATGAGAACAAACTGATATGTACTCTAAAAGCTAAACCTTTTGTTGGTGTAAGTTATACGCAACCTTTTAGGTGAATGGACCAATGTGCACCTACAACACCCTGAAGAGAGCCTAGTCATGTGCACTTACAGCCCTCTTCTTTGGGCCTGATTCTTCTCTCACACTCATTTAAATCAGGAGTCATACCATCCACAATCCTCAGGAAACATTTATCTAACCTTGGGTAGAGAGCAGAATCGAGACCCCACATTTTGTCAAACAAGCAATAGCTAGATTTTGTAATTAAATCAATAAACTTGTCATTTATGCCACTTTTGGACAAAGGGTATTCCAAAATCTTACACCTCTGAATAAACATCTTTATATTAATTTAGTGAAAATTAAGCCAAAGAAGGACTTGCTGAATTTTTGATTATATTTTGTGTGAAGACAAAAGTTTCCCCTAATTCTTGTCTCCAATGAATAGTCAAAACAGCTTCAGTATTTATGGTTACCACAGAAATCGATGAGCACATTCCGTCCTGCAAATCCTATCTTTTCTTTCACTAAGAAGTCTTACAGAGCAAAGCTCAATTATTTTCTTGGGCCCCCTCTTATTAATTGGCACTACAGATAACCTGGATATTTCCAGTGGTGAGGGTTGATCAGTCAATGTTGTAGGACCATAAAACTCACAATGACCTCAGCTATGAGTTTTCCAAAATGTAATGTCATACTATGATATTCAAATTCCTTGTGCCAGCCAACAAGCCCCAGACTTCCCTGGAGCAAGGGAAAACTCACCCAAAGAGGCAAAAGGACATGGAATTAACACGAACTGATAGCATATGCTGCACTGTTAATTAGCACAGTCCTTGTCTGCTTTCCCCAAAAAGGTTTTTCTGGATTTATCTCCCTGGGTAGGGTCTTGTATTATGTAGGACTCCAGGCTGGACAAGAAGAGCTCCTTGAAACTGCCAGGCAGTTTCCTCAGCCACAGTCCTTGGTGGCAGCTAAGGACACCCAGCATCCCCTGGTTCCTTTCATCAGGGGATTAAGTCTTTTCATCCTGACAACACCTGCTCCCCTCCTTATGTCTAAAGCAGGTGCCTGCAATTCAGGTTTTCTCCTGTGAACCTGCTGATAACACGGCTGCAAATGTCTTCAGAGGGGGATCTGTCTCCAGTGCAAGCTTCAAAGAGCAGCGATGAAGGGCTCAAGGCTGTACTTTTGGTTACAGCAGCACAAACAGAGCTATCTTGTGCTCACAGGGCTGCCATGGAGGGCAGTATCTTCCAATTCCCCATGAATCTGTCCACATCTTTCCACCACTGAGAAATAAATGCATAAAATGCTGCTGCTCTTAATTTTTGCCAATATAAATGTCAAGTTAAGCTTAGCTCTGCCGAGTTTGGTAGGACTTACTTGGACTTGAGCCAGATGAGAGCTTTTGGGAAAGCTGTGGTTGCAATCTCTCCTGCTGCAATCTGCAGATCTTTCCCTGATGTAAACAGGACCTCAAGAAAAGAACAAAGAAAAAGAAGCAGTTGAACAAACAGTACATATGCTTGGATTGGATGCAGAAGATTGAAGTTGGAGCCTGATATAATCCAAGGTAGTTGTACTTAAAGGAGTTTTGCCAGCTTGAATTAGCAGATGGTGAGGTTCTGGCTCATACTACATTTCTGTAGTTTACAATTATCTTTCTTTCTTCACCTAGAACCAAATTCTCCCTTTAGGCTGCAAATCTTAATTAGGAAATACTTCCTCATTAATTTCAAGAACTCTTGGACATTAATTTCCCAGAACAAAAAGAAACCTTACCTATTTCTGCTATAGCAGCAGATGCTGGAGCTTTTTGTTCCTTTGCTTTTAGGGTTGATGCTGATCTTTCCATCACCATATGGAAGACGCTTCAGTCCTTACCCTGTTTCTTGCTGCCCTGAATTTTCTTTACACTCATTCTTCTTTATCTCATAGGGAACCTTTGAATGAGAGGACCCAGGGGAGAAGACCAAGTGCAGTCACCTTCACCCGCACGGCTGCTGTACAGTAATTTTTTATCCGTGAAAGCTGGATCAAAAGGCCCAAATCAAAAATTACTCAAAAATCCCAAATTCCAACATTTTCCTAGAAGAAGCAGGAATTTCATCTTGGAGGTAAGAGCAGGAATCCACCGGGGTCTTCATGCTTTTCATGCTTCCAGTCCTTTGTGTGGATTAAAAAAAAATGGTGTCCTCAGTAAAATTCTTCCTTTCCTTCCTTCCCCACCGCCAAGGAGATGATTTTTGCCCTGTCCTGCTTTGGTGCAAATGCCATGGGAAAATTATCAGGAGAACCAACACTCACAAACCAGCCACAGGATCTGGAAGGAGCAATAGTCTCTTCCACTGCAAAACTATTTTCTAGTGAGATTGCTGCAAGAGGAATTTCTGGGTCTTTAATGTAATGCTTTAGCTTGTATTCTTGTATTCCTTGTCACCAGGCTCCCATATGACTCTACATTCACAGGCTGGTTGCCCCTCAGTTTCCTGGCTGAGTGCTCAGATTGTCCTTCACACACTCTCCAGCTCTGTGTCTGCAAGGACACACAAATAAAATCTCTTCCCATCTCCAGGTTTGCACTCCCTGCTTTCAAAGGCTGGAGACTGCCCACCTGAAGTTGGACAGGGCAGTTGTACACGATATAAGGTGATGGGATCAGCTCCGATAAGCAAAGAAAACATCTGTAAAGATAAGGTGCTGATACCTGAACACAAAATATCTGTCGAGTGCTTTCGCTTGTAGCCACAGTCACAGCACAGAGAGAAACAGTCCGGGAGGTTGTTATGGAAACAAGTCCCTGGAGGTGCCTACTTGGCTTCACCTTCAGAAGGAAACAGATTTGCATTTTGAGCAGCCAGGGGCAGTGCTAAGGGCTAAGAATTTGAAGTAAGGTTTTTGAAAGCATCTCTGTGATTCGGTGGCACGAGACCTCTGGTAAAGTCAATGGCACTGGTGCCACTGTGTCATTTCAGTCATGTGAAAAAAAAACAAACTGAAGCCTCCTTAAAAAAGGTCAAATTCCACAAGTTCTGTAACATGTGGTGTTACTGATGACTCTGGGATTTCACTGCTTTTCAGGAGGTGCTCAGAGAAGGATTTCTTCAGTATCATTCCCAAATGATTCCCAAGGTTACAGTTCCATGCTTCTGCTGTTGTTCTATATTTCTCTTAGAGCAAACACAGAACGCACAGGGAGCAAACACCACCCCTGCTTTACACATTTTCATGTGCACTTTCTTTATGGAACTGACAATCGTGGCTCACAAAAACTGCACAGAGCTGCCTTGTTCACCACAGAATTCCTTTGCACCTTCGGTGCAATCTGCGGGCGGGAGATTCCAAAACCCACTAGAAACTCACTGCCGGATTCCACCTGGAAACTCACTTCTGGTTCCCACCCAAGGGCAGGACACCTCTTTCCAATAGGATCTGCGGCAGACACGCTGGGATTGTGCTATCAGTGATGTGCCTCACATCTTTTTTTCTTGCTGGAGTCTCGGTGCCCATCTGTCTGTTGTGCTGGTTCTGGGCACAGAAAATCTGTTCTGGGCAGGGAGGGCTCCTGCCCAGCAGGGCCAACAGGGCCAGGCCCAGGGGGAGAAATGAGCACAGGAATTTTCTGACGTAGGCTCAGCATGTCTCATGACTCCTCCTGAACTTGGGTTCAACCTGAATTTTTTATATCTTACTTTGGGGGAACTTTTATCAGCTGATAGACTCAGGCATAAAATATCCCCAAACATGGGCATTCTGCTGGGAGAGGGCAGCAGCCTCGAAACATCCCTCTTAAACAGCAGCTTCTTTTGCTAGTTTCTAGCAAAACAAAATTTGAAGAAGAGTCCCTCTCTTGGCCTCACAGAAAAGATTTCATTAAGGTGACCTCAAAACACAACTAAGAACACCACCAAGACTAAGACACACCAAGAACTGGACAAGTTTTACACAAAATCAACAGAGATGCCACCATGCCCCTCAGTCCCACTTAATCACCCAGACAATTTACCAACCAGCTGATTACACACATCAAGGGATGCAGAATTAGTCCCCAAGTCTCAGACCTTCACAAACCTTTGCCTCAGTCCCATGAAGCAAAGAGAAATTAGGCTTTATTCAGGCAAACCCCTCTGAGCTAGGAACCCTCACCATATCAAACTTGTTCCTCCCAGACTGAGACAAGTGGCATTTCCCTGCTGAGTTCAGAAAGAGAGAGAGCAGAGGTTTTAATACAATAATAGTGTGCTGACCCAAAGAGAGATCCCTGCACACTAAACATAATTGTGAAGGCAATGTGGCTCTGGAGGAATGGAGTAGTTAGGATTTGCACAAACAACTTCTACCATATGAGCAGGGCCAGGAGGGAGAGAGGGCACAATGAAAGCACTCTAGGCATGGAGCCATATCTCAAGACAACTGAAAATAGGCAGGGTAATGAAGATGCAAACAGATCCCACCTCACAAACTGTTCTATAGCCAGTTTTGACTACATTAAAGGATGAGGCTCTGAGCAACCTGGTCTAGTGGAAGGTGTCCCTCTTTGGGAAGAGATGACCTTTAAGATCCCTTCCAACCCAGGTCATTCTATGATTCTATGATATGCATTTAGCATTCTTAGTCTTATGGCTGAAAAGCACAATATATGTACAAAATCTATTCTCTGTATTTTTGCACCTTGGCATTATTTCTGGTTTATGTATCACACATGTCCCATGCAATATGTAGTACATTCCAATATGCATTTCATACAGTGTGATGCAAGGCATTAATGGCTGCCTTTGCTTTCATACACATGCAGATGTATGAATGCAGAATAAACACTCAGAATTAAAATAAGAAGGGCTTTTCCTTGCAGGAAAATCTGCCAGTGGAATCTGAAAACATCCATTTCCCTTTCTCACCTGCTGGCAGAGCTCAAAACATTTTTAAAGTTAGGTGTAAGGAATAGCTACTGAAACTAATGAAATTATCTGGGAAGCAATACGTGTATTTGAAGACCGAAATCTCTGGTCCCGTGGCAAACCTGGCAGTGCGGGCCCAACTATGCATATTTTGCATGGCTGGCACAATTTGCTCTCATAAAACCAAGTGTAAAAACACTGCTGTCCCTCCTATCCATGAAATGCCAGGAACTGGCTATGCCAGCAATACAGCAAAAGCATCTCTTCAGGGCTCACCATTTCTCCCCTCATTCAAAGGGTCTGGAGGATGCTGCTGGCTTTGTGCAGACAGCTTAGGGAAGTTTGTATCCCTGCCAGTCTCAGTTTCAACTGTTGGCACACTCGCCCTGGGGCATTTTATGCCTGTGACTTGCTAAACCAGCGCGATCCTCACACAGCACAGGTGCAGAGCTGTCTGTGGTCAGGATTTTCCTGCCACATCAACAAAACGCCAACATGCAAACTTCCCTCAGCAACACAAATGCTCAATTAAAAAAAGCAGCGGAGTCAACTGCTCTCACATGCCTGAATACAGAGCTGGGTATCTGAAGCACAAAGCACATCTCATTAAACGCTATTGTGTGAAGATGAACTCTGCAGATAACAAATGAATTTACTCAAACACGCCTTGCATCAGAAGGCACTTACCACTATGAAGATTGAGTTGGTACTATAAAAGCCAATTAACATCAGGGCACTGGCATAAATAAGGCTGAGATAAGCTCAAAACACCCAGAGAATCTTCACCCAGCCTGTTGACTGCTTTAAGCTTGTTTTTGATGCATGATGCATGGTCACAAGTAGCAAAGAGCTTTTCGATTTATGCACCTTTTTTTTTTTTTTTTTAAACACAAACCAGGAGGATCTTTTAGCAAGCCAAGGGTTGCAAAGAAGGCAGGCATCTTCTTGCTGGCTTTCCCCTACAGCTGCAGAGCTCCCTGTGATCCTGGCTGCAGCGTTTCCATTATTCAAAGGCAATGGCATGGCAGGCGTGACTGATCCCACAGCCAAGGGCACTGCGCTGGCACAAGGACTGAAAGCACAGCTCGAGCCAGATGTTTGTAGCCCCTTTAACTGTTTAGGCTGCTGAATGCTGCTGCTGAAGTAGTGGTAAGGACTTCTCTGCTAGTGGAGCAACAAGACTTGGTTTCGGAGCAAACGATGGACTAAAGCAGTCATCAAAAGCAGAGAGAGAAATGCACAAGGGAGTGGGGATGACAGCTAGCACTCCACAGAATAAAGCAAGAACATTTCTGGCTGCACACAGTAATGAGAAACAGCAAATCAGGCCAGAAGAGCCCATTATCACAATCATTCTGTTTACGGTATCACAATTCACAGTCTGGCATGTAAATGCTGAATAGATCCAGCTGCTTGTAGGAAGACGACTGTAAAAGCAGCTTGCAGCTCCGTGTCTGGACCCAGGACAACAAAACCCATCACACCTCTGTCAGCATTTTCTTCTCTTTATATCCCTGGTTATTAGGAGGAATGAAGTTGGAATATTTCATGGACTCCAGGTCTTCTGCTTCCAGGAATTCAGATTTGCTGAGGGACTGATTACTGTCCCCCTTCTTGGGCTCAGAGAAGGGTGACTGTTGCTGGCCACAGGTGACATGGGTGTACTGGCACTGCTCTTCGTGGTCAGTCTCTCGGTGGTAGAAGTAGTTGAAGTTGGACACGATGACAGGTACAGGCAGGGCAATTGTCAGCACACCAGCGATGGCACACAAGGAGCCCACAATCTTGCCCCCAATGGTCATGGGATACATGTCCCCATAGCCCACAGTGGTCATGGACACCACCGCCCACCAGAAAGCATCAGGGATACTGGTGAACAGCGAGTCAGGGTCATCAGTCTCTGCAAAGTAGACAGCACTGGAGAAGAGGATCACCCCAATGAAGAGGAAGAAGATGAGGAGGCCCAGCTCCCTCATACTGGCCTGGAGAGTCTTCCCTAAGATCTGCAGCCCCTTGGAGTGCCTGGAGAGCTTGAAGATCCTGAAGACTCTGACCAGGCGGATGACTCTGAGGATGGCCAGGGACATGGCTTGCTGCTGGCCCCCATTGTTGCTGCTGCTCCCAGGCTGCTGCTTTTGCTGCTGCTGCTGGGCCAGCTCGGTGCCCAGGGTGATGAAGTAGGGGATGATGGCCACGATGTCGATGATGTTCATGATGTTGCGGGAGAACTCGGGCTTGCTGGGGCAGGCGAAGAAGCGCACAAGGAGCTCGAAGGAGAACCAGATGATGCACAGGGTCTCGATGAGGAAGAAGGGGTCTGTGAAAAACGGGCCGGAGCCGGCGACGGGACGCAGGGGTGGGGGGGTCCTCTTCTCCAGTG